TATATGTATATATATATATATATATATATATATATAATATAGTGTATATATATATATTATATTAGGGTGTATATGTCTATGCACAGATGCATCTGAGTCTCTAATTTGTTTATGTCGATATTAATTTTATATAAAATTGCATTAAAATATTTTTGTTTTATTTATGTTGCTGCTTTGTGCAGCTTCATCAGCAGTTTCTTCCAGGTGTACATACACCTCACGGTCATGTCCATCTGCTGCCACCAATTCGCTGCTGCTGCTGCTGCTGCTGTAACTGCTGCAGCTGCTGTTGCTGCTGCTGTTGTCTCTACATTTATCTGTCCAGTCGCGTAGGCCCTGCACGTCGATGCCAAGCTGCAGCAGCAGCAGCAGCAGCAAATGCAAGAGCAGCAGCAGCAACAGAAGCAGCAGCAGCACAAGAGCTGTAAGCAAGAGCCAGTCAATCCGTCTGAGGGGCTGTGCCAATGCTGCTGCTGCTGCTGCTGCTGCTGCGGTTGCTGCTGCTGCTGCTGCTGCTGCTGCTGTTGCTGTATGTACACCTCACCTGTAGAAGGGCTTCAGCAACGAAGTGCTGCTGCTTCCTTGTGAATAAATGTTTGCTGCTTTCTGCATGCGCCGCCAAGTCTGCTGCTGCACTCAAAATTGACCCTGTTGCTGCTGTTGCCGCTGACTCCGTTGCTGCTGCTGCTGCTGCTGCTTCTATTGCTGCTGGTTCTGTTGCTGCTGAAGTTGCTGCTGTTGCTGCTGTTGCTGCTGCTTTTTCTGCTGATAGTGATAATGCACGTAAGAGGACGGCTATGTCTTGAGGGGAGATGGATCGTCCTTCAGTGCGCTGCAGAGACACCCCAAACCCTAAACCCTAAACCCTAAACCCTAAACTTTAAACCCTAGCCCCTATTTCTCTTCGCATGAGGATGGATTGCAAACAAAAACAAAGAGAAGAGACGGCTGAAGAGAGAGGGTGAGATAAAGGAGTCAAAAATATGCAGCAAGACAAAAATAAACAAAAAGAAGTTAAAAAAGAGAGAGGGACTTAGAGAGGAGCAGAGACAGAGCAAGAAAAACAAATACACAACAAGATACAACAGAGAGATACCAACAAACCCTAAACCCTAAACCCTAAACCCTAAACCCTAAACCCTAAAAGACAGAGGATTGATAAGGAATTCAACAAATGAAAGCAAACAGACAAACAAAAACAAATAACCCGTACAAATCTAAACCCTAAACCCTAAACCCTAAACACTAAACCCTAAACACTAAAACAAAACCAAATAGAGTAAAAGAGACAACAGCACAAATGCAGGAGACAGCAAATATAGACAAGTAGAGACAGAGAGACAGGCAGATACAAGCAGAGACAGGAAGAGAGAGAGAGAGAGAGATAAAAGTATAAACAATCGGAGAAGCAAACACAAACAAACAGAGACAAACAAAAATAAACAAACAAAAGCAAGACGAACGGCTCTGTAAAAGAGAGACACCGCAAGCTGCAGCAAAGGACACGAAATCGGCGCAGCAGCAGCAGCAGCAGCAGCAGCAGGATGTGCAGGTGCAGCAGTAGAAGCTGTTGCATCAGCTGTTGCAGGCAAAGCTGCTGCAGCAGCTGCTGCAGCGGGAGCAGCAGCGGAAGCAGCAACAGCAGCAGCAGCAAATGCAGCGTTTGCAGCATCGCGCAGTTCTGCCTCCATCCAATGTTTGTCTTTTGCTACCTGCAGCAGCAGCAGCAGCAGCAGCAGCAGCAGCAGCAAGGACACAGTGAAGTAGCACTACAATATCTACGCTTCTATTAGTTAGCCATCGTGTGTATGGAATAGTGTTTGGGGTTTAAAATTAGGGTTTAGGGTTTAGTGTTTACGGTTTAGGGTTAGGGTTTAGGATTAGGATTAGGGCTTAGGATTAGGTCTTAGGATTAGGGTTTAGGATTAGGGTTTGGGATTAGGGTTTAGGGTTAGGGTTTAGGGTTTAGGGTTTAGTCGCACTCCGCTGAGCCGATTGAAGTACTCCTCAATCCATGCAGTTGGCGGACGTTGGTGCTGCTCTGTTTGCTGTTGCTGCTGCTGCTGCTCTTGCTGCTGCTGCTGCTGCTGCTGCTGCTGCTGCCTTTGCTGCTGCTGCTGCTGCTGTCTTTGCTGCTGCTTCTGCTGCAGTCTTTGCAAGCAAAGGGCGATGTTTGCTGCTTCTCTCGGTCTTAGCGTCTTTGTGCTGCAGCAGAACAAAGACAAGAAAAAAAATAATAAAGACATTTAAACCTTTCTACTCACAACACACCAACTGCTGCTGCTGCTGCAGCTACTCCAGCCGAATATGTCTGTATGAATATGCATATATATATTTGTATATATATATTTATATATTTATATGCATGTATATACATCTGTATGTATCAATGTACGAATATATATATATATATAGATAAATATATATATATATATATGTATATATATATACATATATATACATAAATATATATATATATATGTATAAATATATATATATATATATATATATATA